CATTTATATTCACGCGCCACAAATCTCGCGCGTCGCAAAAACACAGGCTCACCTTCAAGCTTCTTCTGTCTCCAGGCTGTGACAAACCGTGTGCTAAGGTGCCGCAACTCCTCTTTGCTCGCATCTTCCAAAGTGATGGGCATCAAAACTCCCATTTCCAGAAGCCGATTGATCTCCACATAGGCTGCCAGCTGATCAACATCTCCCAGCTCATCGCTGCTCAGTTGAGGTTCTTCACCTTCAAGGCCGCGAGGGTAATACAGCTTCCTCTGTTCAAATTCTGTCACCTTCTCAAAGCCGCGCTCCCATTCCACTGCTTCGTCAAGCATGTCTGCTTCCTCCAACAGAGTCGACAAAGCGGCATCTGTGTACTCAATGTCAAGTACCTCATCTTCGTGGTGATACTCATCACCTCCAATCACCCACCTCACAGATTCCTGCAACATGCCAACATTGCCAGCAAACATGGGTGAAGAATCCAACTTCTGTTGCTTGTTGGGCGACAGCTTCAACTGCTTTGGACTTGGCTCATTTCCAGGATCTCGCACTCTCGCAGATTCAGGAGGCACAACCGCTCTTTTCAGTCCTTGGGACTTCATGCTACCATCTGCATCTCCTTCACCTTCTGAACCGGCAGGCTTGCCAGGCAAAGCCTCTTGATCCAAGTGATCGGATGCCACAGCCGCAGGCGCCGCTTTCAGGTTTCCCGACGCATCCGAGAAAACAGTCTCTGGGTCCGACGCAGCTTCATCATTTGCAGGAAAAGACATGGAAGCAAACGCCTGTAGCTGCTCCAAAGTCATATCATCTGAAATTGCAAATGAATGCGGCCTTTCTCCTTCTCCAGCCAGCTGCTCTGGAGTTGCATCTCGTTTGGGCCTTCCAAATCCCAAATGGCCACCCAAATAGCCAGGATAATCCCAAGGATGGCCCTTGATACTCTGGACCATGCGCGCGACCCATTTCTCAGACTCAACCATTCGCCTGACTGAACGAGTCAACACCAATCCACCTCCGTGCTTGCCTGCGCCCATTGTAGAAACCAAATGCATATCTGAGCTGCCGACCTTGCCAAGCCACACAGATTTCACCCAAGCCGGATTTCCTTTGTTCTGCACTTTCATATACGCCAGCACGCATTCTCCAAAGTCAACGATGCGCCCACGATAAACGCCACCTCCTGATGCACGCTCCATGGGTGTCAGACCTTGGATCACGTGATAGCGATTGTGAATCCATGCGCTATGCATCCAAGCCCAACTGTGAATTGCGTCATGCGTGCCTATCTTGCATTTCAGCCTGTCCTCCAACTCAGCAAGGAAAATATTGCACTGCTGTCAACAGCGCCATTCGCCTGATGATCTCCGCGCGGGCTGTTCTGCAAAACTGTCCGAGCTCCATACTTCAACCTCTGCTGCTGCACCTTTTGCTGGAGTAGCAAAGGAGTGGGTTCTCCATCTGTCTTGAAAATTACCTCTGTGTAGCCAAGAAAACTCAAGAATCTGCACACTTCTGCAACGAGTGTATCCATCCACTTGCCACCTTTCATAGGAGTTGGGATGGCATGTGCCATCTTGCTATCCCTGTCATGAAGCACCAAGCAACAAAGCTTCCCAGCCTTACTGTCTGCTTTGACACCCAACCCCGCCTTCTCTGGATCCCGAGAAGTATAGCAGAAATCTGCGCTGACCTGAGGTAGCGCTCGTGAAGAATCTTCGCTCCGTTCATGCCTGTCAACGCGAGATTTCACCGATGCGCAAAACTTGCACCATGATTGAAAAGGATAATGCGTCATCGAATGCTCTGCCATCTCCTGAGGGGTCGGTTCCTTCACAGAAGGGGGCGCCAACGGTTTTCGCTTTTCCTCTGCTGGGACCTCCGAGTGCATGCGCTTGTCCGCAAACTGCTCCTGTTTCTTCATGTGCTGTTTGAGCCTTTTCAACACAGTTGCCTTTCCACCAGACTTGCCAATGCCACACTTCTCGCAAGCTTGTCTCAAAGTGGCAAGGGTATCGTCCTCGGTGAGCAAAATGCCATTCACTTCAACCTCCATGTCACCCAACTCACGCACTGCTTCAGGTTCGTAATCATCTCTCAAAGCACCTTCAACTGCCATTTCAACAACAGCGTCATGTGGCGGTTGAGGCAAATCACCCGGGGCCGAAACAACATTTGGTTCAAGCACAGGGACACTGGAATGCTTCAACCCTGTTTTCATTTTTTTCGCTGCTCGAGCCAAATCCTCGGCAGAGGTGGCCTTGGCTCCCGTCTCCGAAGGTCGAGAAGACGAAGAAGGCTCCTGCAAGATATTCTCAGCTTCAGGTTTCGTCTCCACCTCCAAACCAATGCCGAGTGGAGCAGAATATCCTTTGTGAGCAATTGTGATAATGTCTGTGGGCTGCTCAAGGTCCTCAATGAAACCAGAAACATTGGCCAGATTCGTCAGCTTCTCGCAATACTCAATGACAACCCATGTATTTCCACGCAAAATGAGCGTTGCGCGCATGTCAACGTCCGCATTCGGCAAGCCAGATGAAACATCAGTGAAATTCATGCCATGTACCTTTACCGCCCAAACAAGGTCTCCAACTTGTGTCCAGCCTTCCCGCAACTTCTGCAGCTGTGGTAGCAAAGACACTTCAATACATTCACCTCGATATACATCTTCGGCCTGCACTGCTCTGATAACGCCACCAATACACAAAGAATGTCTTTTGTAGTAAGCAGGCAACGTCTTGCTCTCATTCCACATCTGCAATTGTCCGTTCCTCTCTCCGAGCTGCCAGCCCTGTCTCATGAGCTTGCCCACTGCCAAGAGAGGTTGAGACACTGGGGCCACAATGAACTCTTCTCGCAAAACAACATTCTCACCAATACTGATGTCGCAAACACGCCTCTTTGTAATTTGCAAATCATTCCCTTGTGCATCCAAGTACTTCTCGCGCTTCAAAGGAGCATATGAACCCAAATGACCCATATCCAGTGGAAGCACAGACACGTCAGCACCGCTGTCCAATATGATGTCTGCTGCTAGCGGTACCTGCGAGTCCTGATTCCTGACCATGCACACTTGTCCAGCTGAATCAGTCTGCTGCTCATCAATGCAATTATCAAACCACCATGCATCTGAAGCATTGCTCATCTGAACATCTGAGGGCGAAGCGAAAATCTCATCATATTCGCCTGCACACTCTGCATCAGAATCGTAGGCAGACATATCAAAATACTCGCATGCAGACGATGCGTACTGAATGGCCCGAGCAAATGCACATGTATCCAAATCCGGGTTGCTGTCCAGCTCAAACACCGTCAAATCATACAGAGCCGAGCCATCATCCAAAGGAAAACAAACTCTTCGCACTGCACTCATGTTGCTCTGTGAACTTCTGTATTGTGTTGCCGATGTCAGGTTGCTTGCTGACCCGTTGGATGCAGTTGAGCTCGGGGGCCTGTTTGGAAACGAAGGGGTCTGCTGCTGCGGCTGTGACACATGACAAGAGTCCTGAGTTTGAGCCGGCAAATCCCCTTCCATGCGATGCACCTTGCTCGCTTGATCACGTTGTCGCTGATAACAATCTCTCTTCCAATGGCCTCGCTTTCCACAATATAAACATGTGTCACTTCCAGTGCCATGCTGCTGATGCTGCTGTTGCTGAGGAGCACCCTGAGCATGTTGAGGGATGTTCGAAAACTTGCCCTTTCCTTTCCCATGGTCGTCTTTTCCTTTAGATCCTTTTGATCCTTTGCCTTTTCCTCCTTTTCCTTTTCCCTTGTCAAATCCTTTTCCTTTTCCAAAGCCTTTTCCACCGCCTTTTCCTTTGCCACCTTTTCCAAAACCTTTGGAATCCTGAATGCGGTCGATCTCCATGGGCGTTGGTCCATCCTGTTGGTGATAGCCAGATTGACCTCCAAGCTGATACATATTGTTGATAGGGTTTGACCACTTTATCTGTGAAGATTCCCATCGCTTCACCAAGGTAACCAACTGCTGATAATTGGAACCTTCCGTGACAGCGATGTTGGTGTATTGCTTAAGCGGACCTGTCAAACAGCGAAGCAATACCGACATGCGATGGTCGTCCGACAACACAGTGTTGGTAATGCGCTCATACTCCAACTGTGCGTCTTCAAGTCGTGCTAACTGATTCGTAAGGCCATGCTTCATGTCAAAAGTTGGCCATGCATTGATCGCCTGCAACAATGCCAGCGCACGAGTCCGAGCATTTGGTTGGAGGTCGTTGTTGATAAGCCTATAGCTTTCATACCCGTTTTGGTCTCCTACCGACTTCAGAATCTGCAAACCACGTTCATGCAACAATCCAGTCATAATGGAATACATGAGAACGCTCCTTCTGCGAGTCTGTTCCTCCATATCTGTCATATCCACAGGGTCACGTTGTCCACGCAAAGACTCCAAGTCATGCTGAAACTCTGGGTCTAATGCACAGAGCCACTGCTCAAATTGCCATGACCGCTGCTTCCATTTGGCCAGCTCATCATCCCGCGACGATGCAGAAAAGGGAGCCGGTTGAGGAAGCACACGAACAAGATCTCTACCTGTAAGATCAACACGTCTTTCCGAAACCGTTTGCTGCACACGCGTAGCCTCCATTTGCACTTGCACCAGTTGCTGAATAGCCGCCTGATTCTGCCGACCGATTTCTACAGCCGATTCCGTCATTCTCTGAAAATGTGCCATCAGTTCGTCCGCCGAGACATTGCCCTGCGGTGCTGCTGATGCTGCACTCGCAGCCATACCCACGGCCCGTCACACAGCTGATGCGTATAGTGCAAAACAAGGAAACTATGGCGCCAAACTACCAAAGCCCAACCGAGTCGGGCTCCGCTACCATGCTTACGTTTTGAGCATACAAACGCCTATTTCGGTCAAATCTGTTCATGCGTCTCTGCTGTACACACAAGCCATTCAAGTATGCACAACGGCGTGGCAAACGGTTTCCGATATGTTACATGCATATCTACGCACAAATTGATTTTTCACCACACCCGTCAAGCAAGAAACTGCGTCGAAAGTGAACCCCGCCACGCAATGACGGCTGCATTGACGTGATCTACAACAGCTTGCTGCTGCGGCCCCCCAAGCACATAATCCTCCAGCCACCGAAGCCCGGCTGCGAGCTCACCCGCCATGGAGCGGAGGCGCAGGTTCTCGTCCCGCAGCTTCTGGTTCACATCTCTGAGTTGGATGTTTGCATCCGTCAGCTCACGCCTCTCAGCACTCTCCTTTTCCAATTGCTGGAGCCGCTCTGCAAGAATGGTGACACCTTACTCACTCAAGCGGCAAGGCAGAACCGTCTGGCGGTAGAGAAAAAGGACCCAAAAAACAGAACGACTGCGTCTGAAAGCCAAGCCACGGGATCGGGGCTTCCAGCTCGCCTCGTACCCTCGCTGTTTCTGCTGCCGTGGAGAAACAGCATCCTTCTTGGCCAGCCGTGTTGGCGTCTCCACCCTCTTTGCCGACGTGATCGCTCGCTTCATGACGTGAGCAGTAGGCTGCACAGCAACGAACAAGATTGGCTTCGGAGCTGGCACGTTGCGGGAGCACTTTTTGCGACACACACAATATGCCTTAAAAGGAACCCCAAGCAGTCAAACGTCAAACCAGCCACAAGTGTCAATGTTGCGCAGGCTTGTCTTACAACACGCCTACAGCGCAGAGCAGCCATGGTGCAAGCGTTGGAACCGGCTGCTTCAGGGGGGCCAATTTCCATGAGAGCAAGGTGCTCCTTAGCCTATGCCCATGCTCCGCTCCCTTGTGCAAGCCGAGTTTCGTTCAGCGTCAAAATTCAGAGGTGATGAGCGTGGACAGGCGGGGCTGCATCTCAGACACAAGCGCAGCCCCTCAACTGCTTCCAACACGGAAACACAAAGCTCGTGAAAGAAAGTCGGGAGCCTAATTCCAAAAAAAGAATTAGTTGCCGACCTCCCCCCCCCCACCCCTGCAAGGCAATGTCCATGAAAGCATCAAGGCACATGTGCGCAATTCTGAAGCTCAACCGCGCAAGCGCTTGCCACACGTTTACTGCATGCTCAAACAGGCCGTTTGGAATAGCTTTAGGAATTGCATGACATTGCATTTCGCCCAGAGTGGGGCCAACACAGCAATGTTGCTCCCTACCCTGACGCACACGCTGCTTGTTCGGAAGTGTGCTGTCACTTGGGATGCGATCCAGCAGCCTTGCACACAGTTAGTTCACGCCGTCTGCCACCAGAGCACGCCAAGCTGGAAGGGGCTTTGGGCAAACGTAGGGCACTCAACAAGGACACTTGCGCATCGCACATCATACATTCCAGGAACTGCTGTGTGTGGTTTATGCAGCCCAAGGCCATGGCATTTGCAGGCTGCTGCCCTCTACGCTCAAGGAGTTGTCTATTGGCCCACGATTAGCAAACATCCCCTGACGAGAACATTCTCTTGAGCGCCACAAATTCTCTGCGCAAACTACTTCAGTCTGCCCGCCGAAGCTCGAGCCGCTGGCTGTTGGCTTGGCTTCTGACTAAAAGAGACATCCTCCTGCAGCCTCAAAAGGAGCCGTAAGAAAACCTGCAATCAAATCCAAAAACCGCCGCCCAGCAAGCACCCTCAGGCGTGCCAGAGCAGCTGCTGGCTGAGCACTGCGCAGCACCGCAATGATCTGGCGGCGGGGTTGGGCCCGGGCTTCAAAAATGGCTGACCTCTTGTGTCATATCACAACTAGCACCATAAGTCCTGAAGCAGCTAAGCAGGGCACTCAAGCGTCTAAGAACCCTACTTCCACAACCTCAACGACTTTCTGAATGTGTTGGGGCCCGGAAACCAAGAAATCCAGTTCAAGGAGAGGCCAACAGTGACGGAAGCACAGCCTCAAGCGTCCCTGCGTGTGCCAGAGAGGCGCCAGCGCAGCACTGCAGCGATCTGGCGGCGGAGGTGGGCCCACGAGGTGCATGCATCGCTTCAAAGAAGGTTGACCCCTTGCATCATAAAGCAATTAGCACCGTAAGTCCTGGAGCGCCAAACACAGCTAAGGCGGGCACTCAAGCATCTAAGAAGCCCTGCGTCCACAGACTCAACGACTTTCTGAATGCGTTGGGATCCAGAAATCTGAAATCAAATTCACGGAGTGGCCACGACAGTGAAGAAAGCACAGCCTCAACTCCAGAGTGCCAAAATCTGGTGGCAGAGTTGGGCCCCACAAGCTGCATGTGGGGCTGCCGAGAAAGCTGACCCCTTGCATCAATAGCAATTAGCACCATCACTCCTGGACGCCAAGCACAGCAGGAGGGCACTCAAGCGTCTGATCTGGAAGCCCTGCTGCAACCTCACAACTTTCTGAATGAGTTGGGGCCCAGAAACCTGAGCTCCTTGGGAAGCACATCCCCAAGCGTGCCTGCGTGTGCCAGAGCCCGAGCGGCGCCAGCACAGCTGCAGCACTGCAGCGATCTGGCGGCGGTGTTGGGCCCACAAGGGTCTCTTTTAGGGGAACCGTTTTCGGGCGGCTTCCAAAAGGGAAGCCAAAATTGGGGCTCCCTGTTTGAGACACACCCACGACTGCATGGAGGAGCTGCATGGAGGGCTGCAAAGAAAATTGACCTCTTGCCTCAAGCAGCCAGAAGTCTGCACTGCAACGATCTGGCGGCGGAGTTGGGCCCACGGGCTTAAAAAAGTTGACCTGTTGTATCAGAAAGCAGTTAGCACCAGAAGTCCTGGAGCGCCAAACACTTTAAGGAGCATCTAAGAAGCCCTGCTTCCACAGCCTCAGCGACTTTCTGAATGTGCTGGGGCCCAGATACCTGCAATCAGAATCAGCTATAATGGCCATAAAGCCGCGAAAGTAACATTTTTACAACCCTCGAATGGGGGGCGTGGGACTCGGTAAACATGACGCACGCTCTAGACATTTATGCTGTTATCCGGACACAATGCACAGGTTTATAAGAACATGATACACAACATCCGCAACAGGTTAATAAGAACATGATGGGCAATATCCCACACCACCCGCAGCAAATGTATAAGAACATCTCGGCGGAGCGCGACGCGAAGAGAGCATGCTTGTCAAAATGCAAAAAAGCTATCTGCTTGAGCGGCAACAGCACATGCGAAGCCACCTAGAACTCACATCAGGCGTCCCTGAGCAAGACAGATTCGTTCGGCGCGCTTACCATTTGGCTGGCGTGTGTGCAGTGCTGAGCGGGTGCGCGTGAGCGGGTGTGCGCAAATGCTGTCTTCGGAACAGTTGCAGGGAAGTAGCGGTTGGATTGATCACAGGCACAAGAAGCCTGACAGAATCTCAAACAGCGAGTGCCCAATTCCCTTGCGCAATCCAAGTTTCGCTCAGCGTTAAAAATCCAGAGGTGAAGGGCATGGATAGGCGGGGCAGCATCTCAGACACAAGCGCAGCCCCTCAACTGCTTCCAACACGGAAACACAAGGCTCGTGAAAGAAAGTCGGGAGCCTAAATAAAAAATGAATTAGTTGCCGACCTCCCCCCCCACCCCTGCAAGGCAATGTCCATGAAAGCATCAAGGCAATCAGGAATGTTGGCAATTCTGAAGCTCAACTGCGCAAGCGCTTGCCGCACGTTTACTGCATGCTGCAGCTGTGCTGGCGCCGCTCGGGCGCCGCTCTGGCACGCGCAGGCACGCTTGGGGATCACTTGGGCAGCCTTGCACACAGTTCACGCTGTCTGCCACCAGAGCACGCCAAGCTGGAAGGGGCTTTGGGCACTCAACGACTTTCTGAATGTGTTGGGGCCCAGAAACCCCGAAATCCAGTTCAAGGAGAGGCCACGACAGTGACGGAAGCACAGCCTCAAGCGTCCCTGCGTGTGCCAGAGGAGCGCCAGCGCAGCGCTGCAACGATCTGCAGCGGAGTTGGGCCCACATCGCTTCAAAGAAGGTTGACCTCTTGCATCATAAGGCAAGTAGCACCATAAGTCCTGAGCGCCAAACACAGCTAAGGAGGGCACTCAAGCATCTAAGAAGCCCTGCGTCCACAGCCTCAACAACTTTCTGAATGCGTTGGGGCCCAGCAACCTGAAATCAAATTCACGGAGTGGCCACCAGCGTACCTGCGTGCGCCAGAGTGCCAAAATCTGGTGGCGGAGTTGGGCCCCACGAGCTGCATGTGGGGTTCCGAGAAAGCTGACCTCTTGCATCATTAGCAATTAGCACCGTCGCTCCTGGACGCCAAGCACAGCAGGAGGGCACTCAAGCATTGGAAGCCCTGCTGCAACCTCACAACTTTCTGAATGAGTTGGGGCCCAGAAACCTGAGCTCCTTGGGAAGCACATCCCCAAGCGTGCCTGCGCGTGCCAGAGCGGCGCCCGAGCGGCGCCAGCACAGCTGCAGCACTGCAGTGATCTGGCGGCGGTGTTGGGCCCACGAGGGTCTCTTTTAGGGGAACCGTTTTCGGGCGGCTTCAAAGAGAGACCAAAAAAGGGAAGCCAAGTTTAGGGCTCCCTGTTTGAGACACACCCACGAGCTGCATGGAGGGCTTCAAAGAAAATTGACCTCTTGTACAAAACATCTAGAAGTCCCGCAACGACTTTCCGAATGTGTTGGGGGCCCAGAAACCTAACAAGCCCAGCACGCAGCCACAACAGCCCGGCAAGCGCAGCCCAAATTCCAAGGTTGCCTGCGCGCGCCAGCCCAGCACAAACTGCTGACTGAGCACTGCGCAGCACTGCAACGGTCTGGCGGCGGAGTTGCGCCCACGGGCTTCAAAGAAGGTTGACCTCTTGTATCATAAAGCAATTAGCGCCAGAAGTTCTGGAGCGCCAAACACTTTAAGGAGAAGTCACACAAGCGTCTTAAGAAGCCCTGCCTCCACAGCCTCAGCAACTTTCTGAATGCGCTGGGATCAAAATGAGCTATAGCAGCCATAAAGCCGCGAAAGTGACATTTTTACAGTCCTCCAATGGGGGGCGTGGGACTCGGTAAACGTGATGCACGCTCTAGACATTTATGCTGTTATCCGGACGCAACGCACAACATAATGCACACCATACGCAGCAAAAGATAGCATGCTTGTCAAAATGCAAAAATGCTATCTGCTTGGGCGGCAACAACACATGCGAAGCCCCCTAGACAGACACATCAGGCATCTCCGAGCAAGACAGATTCGTTCGGCCATTTGGCTGGTATGTGTGCAGCGCTGAGCGGGCGCGCGTGAGCGGGTGTGCTTACCATTTGGCCGGCTTGTGCGCAGCGCTGAGCGAGCTGGCGTGAGCGGGTGCGCTTACCATTTGGCTGGCACACAACTAAGGGTGTATGAAGCCCACGCCCCCCCCTGCTTGCTGACGAACAGATAGCCGTGCCACAGCGGGTCAAAACAATCACGTCCAATCGAAAAAACAGCTTTGCGGGCACCGTCAGGACGGAAGCGCAGCCTCAAGCGTCCCTGCGTGCGCCAGAGAGGCGCCAGCGCGGCACTGCAGCGATCTGGCGGCCGTTGGGCACGAGGTCCGTGTGTCGCTTCTGAGAAGGTTGACCTCTTGCATCATAAAGCAAAGAGCGCCATAAGTCCTGGAGCGCCAAG